CCACAGACAGACAGACAGACAGACAGACAGACAGACAGATACAGAGACAGAGAGAGCAGGAGCAGGAGGAGGCCCAACTAGTGATACTCGACACCAAACACTAAGTTTACTCACCTTCGCAGGAGAGTCCGTGCGATGTGACGCCGGGGAGCGCCTCACGACACACGTTGCAGTAGGTGGGGCGCGCGTGTGAGCAGGCGTACCAGTTGTGGTGGCCGGACATCATCTCTGTGTGGCTTGTCGCGCCCTGCTGGAAAACCACCGGGAGGACAGAAAGAAAGAGAATTAAAAACACACCAGGAAAAAAGAATAAAAAACACGAGGAAGAAAGAAAGAAAGAGAATTAAAAACACATGAGGAAAAAAATAAGAATAAAACAGGAGGAAGAGAGAAAGAAAGAGAAAAAAACACATGACGGAAAAAAAAGAATAAAACACCGGGAAGACAGAAAGAAAGAGAAAAAAATCACACATGAGGAAAAAAAAAATTGTTCAGTTTTAGAGGAGGTTTTACGGCGCTCGCAACTGCATACGGTCATACTTATGAGCGCGAGAAGATTAGAGATGTTACAAGAGAGTTACAAACATAAAAAAAGAAGAAGGGGAGATGTTTGATAGGAAAGAAGAAGAAAAGAAAGGAAAAACACTTGTTGGAGGAAGACAAGAGAACGGGGAAAATCAGGAGAAAGAGAAAAATGAAAAAAAAACCCCCACACCGAACAACAACAAAAACATGAGGAAGTATAAAACATAAGGAAGTATAAAACAGGAGGAAGTATAAAACATGAGGAAGTATAAAACATGAGGAAGTATAAAACAGGAGGAAGTATAAAACATGAGGAAGTATAAAACAGGAGGAAGTATAAAACAGGAGGAAGTATAAAACAGGAGGAAGTATAAAACAGGAGGAAGAAAAGAAAAAAGAAACAACTTGTGAGAGGAAGACAAATAAAAGGGAAAAACACGAGAAAGAAAGAAAAACAAACAAACATAAAGAATAAAGAAAAAATTAAGAAGACAATAAGAGGAAGAAAACCCCCCCAAAAACACGAGGAAGAAAAAACAAAACAAACCCAAACAAAGAGGAAAAAAACCCCAAAGAAAAAGATTCAGACGGACCCGATGTTGTGTTCTTGTGGAAAAAAGAAAAAGGGAACCTGACTGACATAAATTTCGTTCACGCCAATCAGGTGCGAATAGGTACATGACGACGAAAGGGTTGTCTCATAAAATGCACTGTACTATCCACGCGGTTTTATGCACAAAAAAACATCTACAAAAAAAAAAAAAAAAAATTTTTTTTAAAATAAAAAAATTCTGAAATTATGCAAACTGAGCCGAAAAATGTGAAAGTATGCAATTCTGTTAATTTTAACAAAGAGTGATAAAGGAAAATAATCAGAAATTATGCAAAAAAAGATCAAATTTTGCTAAATTATGCTGAGTGCATAAAACCCCGGGGACAGACTATACGCAGCCTCATAAGCCGATTTAGGGGGAATTTAGATATAGACTGACAAGATGGTGGTGATGGTAGTAGTGATGGTGATGATGATGATGATGATGATGATGATGATGATGATGATGATGATGATGATGATGAGGATGAGGATGAGGATGAGGATGATAACGAGACCGATGGTGATGATGAAGATGATGATGATGATGATGATGATGCTGATGATGGTGATGGTGATGGTGATGGTGATGGTGATGATGATGATGATGATGATGATGATGATGATGATAATGATGATTCAGATGATGATTCAGATGAAGATGACGATGATGATGACGATGCCATGCAATGATACTCACAAGCAAGTGACACAACCACTTACGTCACCATTCCACCTTCTCAAACACATAAACATTAATTACGTAAAGCAGTGCCTCCTACATCCCCTTCCCCCCCCCCTCTCCGAT